GGTGTCTGGCTTTGTTTAATTGAAGTTCTTTTTTTTTTTTTTTTTTTTTTGGTACCCGGAGTCGAACTCATGACCTCAGGCTCACCAGGCAAGAGCTTATGCCACTGAGCTATATCCCCAACCCCTTAGTTGAAGTTCTTTTGTTTTTGTTTTTGTTTTTCCAGTACCAGAAATCAAACTCACAACCTTGCACTTGCCAGGCAGGCACTGTGCCGCTGAGCTAAATCCCCAGCCCCCCTTAATTGAAGTTCTTAAGATGTTTTTATAGGTGATATTCTGACATAGTGCTATGATTTGACTGATCTTTCCTTACCTACTGGGCTGGGCCCTTTAAGGTGTCCCTTATTTCCTTCCCACTGTTTTATTCTCTTTCTGGTTGTTACATCAGAAGGATGTTGGGCTTCGTGAAATCATCCTTTGTTTTCTCTTATCTTTTTATTCTGTTTTTTAATCTGTAACTTTTTATTCTGTTCTGTGACTTTAAATTCCTAGACCATCTATTGAATTTTTATTTGCACTATCTTATTATAAATTTCCAAGAACTCTTATTTTAATTATCCCTTTTCATAATATTCTGTTCAGCTTTTATATTATTGCTCTGAGGATATTAATTTTTTAAAAAATTAATTTGTCCAATTGTACTGTTTCCTCTGAGTTTTTTTTTTGTTGTTGTTGTTCCTTACTGCTCATTTAAGAGTGATGGTGAGGCACAAAGAAATAAATACACACCATACTGTCTGTTTGCTATCAAAGTAATGAGACTATGTGTGTCACTTCTTTTAACCTAAACACTATGTTTTTATTTTTTGATTATGTCAGCTACTGGCCCACTGAGATTTACTTGATTCAGAATAAGTCCCATATCTTCCACTTTGACGCTTATGTCTCGCTGCTGCGTCTGCTTTCTTGCATATTTTCCTCTTGTGTGTTGGTGGACTTTAACATGCTGATCTGTTGCTACCTTCCATTGCCTGCGTCCTCCATCATCCCATGGATCCAGGTTTATTGAGCCCGCAGGCATTCAGCATAGATCCCTTCTGTGGTGATGGGCTGGTTTTGCTTAGGGACTTTGTCCATTTTGTGTAAAGAAAATGTTCATAATAACCCAACAATTCCACTATTACATTTTCCCTCCAAAGGAATGAAAACATACTCAAGCAAAAGCTTATACATGAACGTTTTTATTACCACTGTCATTATAGCCAAATAAACAAGACAGATATCTATCAACTAATGAATAGGTAAACAAAATTTGGTTCATTCATACAATGGAACATCGTTTGACCATAAAAAGATTAAAGTATTGATATATGCTATAAGATGGATGTTATAACATTGAAAACATTCTACATGAAAGAAGCCAGCTGCAAAAGACTATGTAGGATATGATCCATTCATATACTAAAATGTTCAGAATATACAGGAACAAATATATAGGTACAGAAAGCAGATTAGGGTTCTATAGAAGGTGATGAAAATAGTCTAACATTGACTGTGGTAGTGAGTCCACATATCTGTGAATATATTAAAAACCATCAAGTTGTATACTGTACTTTAAATGTGTAAGTTGTATAGTAGGTAAATTATATCTCAGTCAAACTGTCTAAAGTAGAATAGAAAGTCATGTTAGGGTTTGAAGACTGTCCCAGAAGCCACTGTAGAAACCCTGTCTGTACTGAATGGTGCCTCCACCCATTGAGCCATGGCTCCTGCTCCTCACAGCCAAGGTCTGGTGAACATCACCTTTTTTTTTTTTTTTTTTTTTTTTGGTCTTTTTGAGACAAGGTCTCGCTATGCAGCGTTTGCAGTTGCTAGGCAGGCACTTATGCCACTGAGCTATATCCCCAGCTCCACCCTCTTTACATGTGAAAATCTTGCATTCTTTCTCTTCCTTAGA